AACACTATAAGTACCATTTTAAAAAAAATTATGGAGCAACCTACGTAATTCGTTATAAGCGGCTCAAACATAATAAAGTACAATTTGACTTTTTCCCGCTTGTGACTTTTCACATTTTTTATATTGTATATGAATATATTTCAATTTTTTCATCAATTGTTGTTGATGTAATGGAGATGAAAAAGGAATATTCAGTCTCTCTCGTTTTAAATATTCGAAATCAAAATAAATATGCAGATATTTTTTTTCATTCGTTGGTATATTTTTTTATTGATGTCCTCACCCGTTTATTTTGACAGAAATATACAACCAAAACAAAGACAATCAATTATTATTATTTTTTGCCTGTAATCGTAGATATTAAAATGATAAATTAAGTTGAATTGATGCAATTTTATTGTTTCTGTTATTGTAAAACTAATTGATATTATTGTGTTTAATTTTCCAGAAAACCGTTTTATATGTGAATGTCGTTTACGGTGGATTTATGACTTGCACAATCAAACAAAGAATCGCGAATTGAAACAATCATTGGAACGAATAACATGCATGTTGGAACACACACATCAAGTCATCAACGACAATACATTGAACGATCCTCGCTATCAGATCCAATTTGACACCGGTGCCCGTCATACACAACCATTAGATTTCGATGTACACAATGATTTGAGCGCCACAAATCAATTTAATGAACGTCATTCGAAAATGCGTTCATCATCGGCTGAAAAAGTTGAATTACTGAACTTGAATCCAAATCAATTGCCATGCGAAACTGTAACTGATCCAACTGAGCTCCCCCTGCAAAGGGAATCGGTTTCGGGATATGAAATCGGTGGTTTGAATTTTAAACTATTTTCATCATCAGCTGTTTCTAACACTGTCACCACAAATGTCATTGCAACTGTTATTATGGCCATGTCGACCGCGATAATTCTGTCGTAAAATTATTTCTTGCGATGAACAGAAAGTGACTTTTTTGAAGAAAAAAAAATCGATAAAGTATTTTAAACATTTTTTATTCAAAAATCAATTATTATACATCTTTTTATAGCTTTGATTTGCCACATTTTCGACCAAATTTTCATTTCATCTATTCGTTTTATTAAAAGCCTAGGCGCTCATTCAATTTCCATTTTTGCTTAAATGAAGAAATAATCTATATTCTTACATTAGATCAGATGATGGTATGTGTATTCGACCCAAATTTATCGATACAGAATTATTGAATGTCATAAAAGTTTTAGAATTGAACAAAAAAAATCAACTTCACACTTATAATATGAGGATGATGAAACTTTTACGTGTGCTGTACACCCAATAGAATTTAAGAAAATTACATTCAGATTGATATTGAACCTTGAATCGGAATCTAGTTAGGCAAAATGATCCCATTTAATTTAACAATTCACTTAGACACTTCCCTCTTCCACCACAAGTCACCCCGAAGAAAATAAGTAATTTAGAGAGAAACATCAAAATAAAAAACAACAACTGTAATGAAACGGGTCGGTGTATTGGGTATTTAAATTGACACGTTATTAGTATTCAACATAGAGAAGTTGACCGAGATTTTAATTTTTAATTACTAGTGACAAGTTGAGAGATTCATTGTATCTGATAAATGTAGATTTTGCGCCAATTTATACCAGAATAAAATCGTTTCTTTGCTCGTTTCTTTGCTCACACTAGATTTGATCTAAAAATTTGACTACGTCATTTTTGTGTCACAATATTGTGTCAATTTGCTATCAGAATGAATTGCAATTTTAAAACACTTTTGAAAAACTTGATGCGAAAAACAATTCAAGGATAAGAAAAATACAACAAAACGAAATAACAAATATTTTTGTGTAAAACAATCAATGAAAGGAAATTCCAGGTAAATGTGTGGTTAAGAAAGATGCTGATTAAGAAAAACATTCATAAGAATTTAAATGAAAAAAGAAAAAAAAAACAAACCAAATTTAATGGCAAACTTATTATTGTTATTTAGACTGTCGCAAACGTTTGTCAGAATAAGTATATAAGTTGAAAATCAAATAAATAACACAAAATAAGAAGCTCACATATAAACAAACACACACTCGATATATGTTATTTAAGTGACGTCTTACTATCGATATAAGTGTGGTTCTTTCTGTCTATGCATTAAAATACCAAGCAAAGAAGAGAGAAAAAGAATATACGTGAAATTGAACAATTTTACATAGCTCTAATGATTAATGATTAGATATTTTGAGGAGTATTTTTTAACGTTTTTCGCCTAATACAATTTCGATTATAAGATTGTTGAATTTAGTGCATATTTCGATCAATGATCCTGGATACGGTCGCTTGGTAAATGTGAAATGAACACGCCTGTTCATGCGTGCAATACAAATGCCAAACATTCGTTCCTTATCTTTGATTTATCTTCATTTTAATTATATCAATGATATAATATCATTGACACTTATGCTAAATTTTCGTTTTTCTTCTTTTCCCTTTTGAGAATATAAATAGAAATAGATGTTAAATTCCTTTGCTTCTGTTTTTAAAACTATGATATAGTATATTTCTCTATTCGAACTATAATGAGTGTGGTAAATATTTTCAAACCCTATAATGTCTGTATTTTTTTTATATAAAACAAATCCTTTTTTAACAAAAAAAAGAATGCACACAAAAAAGCTGAATAAATAGACTTTTCGATTAATTTTTAGCAGATTTTCATTTTGTATCGTAAATTATATATGATCTTACAATAAATTTATCGATTACACACGACAATGAAATAAATAAACATGGAAATATGTATTATTATGTGGATTTAAATGTAAAATACATTCGAAATGCATAAACATTATACAAGAAGAAAAACAGAAACTATTAATTTGATCGTTTTGTTTTTTGAGAAGAAAAAAAACCATTGATGATAAAATTTGATGAGCAAAGTAAATTAAGAAAATTTTAGATATAAGTCAGCGTTGCCCACAAAATTCATTAACCGAGTAAAAAAAGAATGCAGAACGCATTACATCTGACTACCACTTACTACAAACTACATGCACTCAATGTATTCATGTACTTGAAAAGAGGAAACGAACTATCGAATGATTTGTTTTATCTCAATACCCAATATTTCGTAATAACATGCGTCCAAAAATCACTGTAATCGATTCGGATTAACTGAACCCTTCAATGTGAGTGTTTCGCTGTTCTGTTCCACCTTAATGTCGACCTAAATGTACACAATGATTAATTCACATAATATTACTGCGAACCGAATAAACCACAATTTTAACTGCGATGCAAATTGAGAAAATGCAACAAATAAATATTTCAAAATAAAACCAAAAACAAACAAACAAAAATGTTCATTTGATTGTTTTCTTTTTCTTCGGAATATGGAATGTTTAAGGTAAAATTTAACAAACTCTCGAAAACTAAATGAAGAAGGAATTAATTTATTGATACATTCCCATATTGGGCTCGCTTTTAAAGTATACTGAGTTGGCAATTTATTATATTCATAACAGTATCATCAAAATCGTAAAGGTAAAAGGTACTTGTCAAACAAAGTTTTTGAATGTGGTAAGTGTATTACTTTAAATGACTTATTTATGTGAACTGTAAATACGTAGAAACATTTTCG